AAGGGGTGGGCCGCCTCCCCACCTATTGACCAATCAAATTAACCCTCTTTGTAAAACCTTGTAACTCGTTTGTATGTGTAGCATTACTCCTTGTTTTATTGTGCAAATACGGTGCCTCCATAGGCATCCGGGTGTATGGCCTACTTGCGTGGCATGCCAGCGCGACGTTGGTCCACATGTTAGTGGCTGGCAGAGCGAGCGAGGCGCTGGTTGTGCGTATGATGTTTTTTTTTTCAGAAAGCACATCGTATTTAATTTAATTATGTAAGAAAGCACCACAAATTAAAATATGGGCCCCACAGGTCAATATGACTCGGAAAAAAGAGTAAAATAAAACACCGGGGCCTAGTTTCGAACCTGGGACCTCCCTGTCGGTGGTGCACATCCCGCCCAAGGTGACCAAAAAAGCCGGTATTAAGACAAGCTAGAAGTCTATATATCAAGCTTTGTTTATCTTTAAGGGCATGTAAAATGGTTGATAAGATAGTTTTATCTTAAGTCTTGCATGTAATTTAGAGATGACAAAAAATATGTGTACAATAGATCATCTCTTAGCCTTATCTTCAATAACTAGCTATTCCTAAAAATGTGGTGAGACATATTGTGCTAAGAGATCATCTCTTGTCTTCTCTTAAATAAGAGAATTCAAGCTTTTTCTTATGATTTCTCTCTCTTCCACCTCATCAGTTATCCTACGTGTCATTCCTAAGATAGAACCATTGTACATGCCCTAAAAGCATTTCTCTTATTTCTACTTTAATACGGGCGTGCACGAGATTTTTTATTTATTTCCAATTTCATGTTTAGTTTTTGATATTATTTTTCCCGGTTGAAAAAAAATGCTAGAAAAGATAACAACTACCGTAAACTTATATAAAATGTTAGTGCATCTGAAAAAAAAACTACGGACTTGGGCCTCTCGGGGGGACGAGTCAGTTTCAACATATTTTTGTAAAATTCTCACGTGCATTAAGAAATTGCAAGAGTGTTTTTGAAATCCGTCATTCACTCAAAACATTGACAACGTCTATTTCAGAAAAATGTTCAACTTGTGAATGCATGTTTATGTTTAAATCCACATAAATTATAGAAAAAGTTCATGTTTGCCTCACTATTTTATTTTTCTTGTGAATGCATGTTTACCTCTTTAAACTACACAATAATGAGAATAGAATAAATATTTAAATAGAAAATAATTGTATATTGATAATTATTGTAGTTTATATGGGAAAACTTATATATCATATATAT